CAATTTTTAAAATGTAATGAATTATTAAATTATTATTGAATGATTGACCACTAGTATAATTGAAAATATTATAATTGAAAAAAAAAATGGTGATTGTAAACAAACTAAACGCAATGTTAAATTAAACGAATTTTATATAACCCAATTTTGTTTTTAGGTAAGTGTAAAGTGATAAGTATCCTTTAAAAATATTACAAGCGCAATTCACCGCATATTAATAACATTTCTAATTTACTTAACTGTGAAGTGGATCGTTTGTTATCAGTGCTATTGTTCTCTGAAGAGGACAACATTATAGCCGCGCCATTTGTCTTCAGAGTAACAATTTCTGTTCTATTTCCTATTAAATATTGAAAGTAACTTTTAAAAGTAATTGTTTTAAGACTTTATAGAATAGACTGTGATCTAAATTCATCTAATTGTGTGAAATTAACAACAAGCGTCAGTAGCCTAATGGCAGGACGCGGACCGCGAACTCGAAAGGTCGTGGGTTCGAATCCGTCATGCGAATACTGTCGTGAACCACTTCTCACACAAGTATTTTAAGTTTACCAGAAGTGTTTAAAGGGATTATTAGTAATGTATAATAGCATAACTAGTATTTTATTCTTTAAAAATAAAATAAAATAAAGTATTTGTTTGCATATTTTTAACTTCCCGCACCAAAAAATCAAGAGGTTTGACCCCGGTTTTCGAAAATCGAGTTCTCATCAGATTGAGGTTCAACGATTTGAGGTTCTAGGAAGCTATTCTGAGTATTCCTACGAGGATGCCCCTTTGTATGTGTGATCGATCGAAAAGATGTTCACGGCATTCGAAATAATTCTATTACCATTAAATTTCACTGTGAATTTGTAGTATTGTAGATTGTGAGAAATCTGAATTTTAAAATTTTAAAAATATGTCTTTTATATACTCTTTTATATACGTATACTCAAACTCCAGCCCGAGGCACAAAGGAGTGTTCCAATTTGTACCTCGGTTAGGAAAGAAATGAAGTATTAGCCGGAGATGACACCTAACCTAATTGTCGTCTAAAAAGAGCAAGGCCGGCTTCGCCGTCTCTAGATGGTAATGGACAGCGTTAAGGTTGAAATGAAATCCCCTGATGTTGCAAAAATTCACGGATAGCGTGACAGGGGTTGCCTTGGTTTTATTGCTCCCCTTGCCCCGAGCAGTAGTAGTCGCGAGCGGAATTTTGCCCTCCCTCCCCCCCCCCCAGAATACGCGGGGCAGCCTGAACACCCACGCTCAGGAGTGGAGTAGTTTGGTCGTGGATGCTCAGTGAGGGATTCTCCCGGGGTGCTGGTACCATCTTGGGGTAGTCTTTTATGTAATTCCGCTACCATGTTAATGGGGGGGGGGGGGGGGGGTAGTGGGCCTCCGGCCACTTGCACTCACTTAGCACAACGCAGAGGTAAACCTCTACTTCACGCTGGTATTCTGTGAGGTCGTGGTACCAACCCGGTTCGAGCCGGCCCATCCGTGCGACAGCAAATGCTGCCGCGTGGCTCTACCACTGTCAACAAAAGTAAACAGGTTAGATTATAAATTTACTTCGCAAATATATTGTAAGACTACATACCGCAAATAAGCAGAGCTGTTATTTTGAAGCACTGTTTCATTAAACTTGTAGCAAAACAATTCCTTTTACGATACGTTGAAATATGTGAGGGTAACAAATTAAAACGTGTATAGTGTTGTTCCGTAGTTTTTATAAAAAAATATACTGTCGATTTATTATATACACTTATTTGCCATTAAAACTTACATATATAATATAGTAGGTATAGACTTTGGATAAGTAATACGTGTTATTTCTGTATTCAAATCATAATTTAACTGTTGACTTTTTTATTATAATTTTGATAACAATAATAAATCAATCATAGTTTTCAGACCGCCTGCTATGCGTAACAATTGTGGCAAAGATGACTTGAGCAAACATTTATGAGGTAATCCATGGACGAGAGCTATGTTCAGGAGCGAACTTTTTATGGGCTGTAATAAATAAACGAATGAGTAACAAAGTAAAATAAAAAAATTTCATAATGCATGTTAAATATTTTGTCGATGCAAGTAGAGCTTCATAAGAATTTGCCAGATTGCATCTTTAAAGGAGCTCATAATTTATCTAGTCTGCACAATATGCAACGCTGAAAGCACTTGGGTTATTATGGCTGTTAGTTTTTACAGACTGCATTTAAAAAAATTCATTAAAATATGCTGGATGTAGTTTCAAACGTTTAAATAATTGTTTGGTTATGGATTTTATTATAATCAATTTATTTTTCAGGTTTACGATGGAAACTAAATTATTATTTCTTCTACTTCTTAATTAGCTACTACGACGACCTAAAAATCCACAATTGGACATGGTTCTCTCCCGGTGTAGAGAAAATTGGCCTTAGTCATCATGCTTGGCAGGTGGATTGACGATCGCAGTAACACATAATTCGGACCTTTGATGCCTGTCGTCAGTCTGGGTATTTTCACTCTGGCGTACATGTGATGGTTATACTGTCATCAATCGAAAGCCATATTTTTTTCCTGTCGGGGCAAAGTTGAACGATATTCTCTTAGACCATCATCACATGGCACAGTAATTATTTATTTATACTTTATAATTCGTTTCTCTAACTAGTGGCGGCATAAAAGAATTCACCATCCAGTGGGTGATGTTAGAAGATACGGAAGGAAACTAAGCCAGCGTCAATTTCCTCAATACATCTGAATGTAATAAAATCTACTGTCAATTATCGCAAATAATCATAAAGACAATATGAGGAAGGTCAATGTTCCGTCCTATTAAAGTCCACTGCTGCACATACGAGTAGGCCTCTCTCATAGATTGCCTTATAGATATTATAGAGGATAGATGTAGATGTCTATGGGCCGCAGCAACCACTTACCATTAGGTGGACTGTGTGCTCGTTTGTCACCCTTATCCTATAAAAAAAAGATAAGATTGCCTATATGTTTGCCATAGTTGCCACGCTTGGCACGCGTGTTTGCAACCGCAGTTTTTTTTAATCTTTAGTCGTTATTAGGGGACGCTGCTGTCTATCTCCTGATTTGTTTCCGTCTGTCGCTTCTTACGACACTCACTAGGCTAGTGGACAATATTCTCACACCGCCATTACACGGTCTATGTTCAACAGTGGATTTTTGAAATGCTGTAAAGATGTATAACCTATTTAATAAAAAAATCGTTAAAATTAAATATTTTAATTTGAGTATAGTTATCGGTACATAAAATAAACTAATAGATTTTTTTATTACGGACAATTTCTTAATTTTTATTTAAGTTTATTGTCCAGCTTCGCAGAAAAAATCTACGATATGGAACACCACACAGTTCATACGTACATATTCTCGTAAATCTTCGAGTACGTTGACCGACAACATTCCACTAGGTATACGTGTCTGACGTGTTAAAATGAACACAAAAGGCAGAAAAACGCGTTATACCCTATACTTTGACTAAATAAAACAAAGTCACGAACTGCTATGTACGACTGTTATAATGAAAATTATATAGATCACGATATAGTGGTAGCGATGTCAAGGTAGTTGTTATGACGAGGCCTAAGCAATATTAAAATTAGCATCAACTTATAACTAGTCGTAATGTGTTTTGCTAATCTTAAAAGGCATGCAATTGAAATGTTACAATATACCTGTATAGTCCGTCAAAATACGTATGCTTCCTTAATAATAAGCGAATTCACAGTTTAACCGCTATAACGACTGAAAATGGACCCAAATAGGAAAATGGTAACTAAAGCGTTTTTCTGAAATTGAGAAATTGCATTCCCTTACAATGCCATTACATTTCCCTGTTTTGTCGTGTCATTTCAATGCCACTGTTTGATAAAGCATAAGCTGATAAACTAGGTACAGGTTCAATAACTCTGTACTGATATGTAGATGATCTGCGTGGATGATGAAAATCAACCTGGAATTCAAACAAAGAAAATAAAGAAGGCAGAAGTATTTCACATAATTCATGAAATGCAACAGCAATCTAACATATAATCTAGTTTAACAATAAAGTAGTGTTGACCGTGCAGTAAAAACAGAAATACCTTGAAAACGCTCTTTATTTAATTTAATCAATTTTGCGTGCGTGTCTTTACAAGCTTCCTTTCCTCCATCTTATTTCCTTTTTTTTTCACTCACTCACTCACTATCATTCTTTTACTCATTCGTCATTCACTCCGCTCCTTCCAGATCACTTCATTACGCTGCGTTCCATCCCTTATTCGGCCGTCCTGATCTCATGCCTGTCCTCAGGCATCCATGCCGCTTTCACTCCTTAACATTCACAATATTACAAAAAAAAATTAACTTACTACTAACACTTAAAAACAAAACAAACAGTTGTCTTAGCAATAATAAACAAACCTATACAACATAGTCTTGTATTTTACTTAACATTTCCTTTATTACAGTAATAGGTACTTACAAAGTAATTCAAACCACAGTCTTTTAGAAAGAAGTAAAAGAGTTAGTTTCTATTGAAAGATATTGAAAGCCATTTCCTTTACATTTCCTATTACAGTAATGCAAAAACAAACAGTTACAGCAATCTTCTCTTTTTTTATATTTTACTAACCATATCACAACAACAGTAGTAATAGCTTAAATATAGGCTTATTAAAACTAATAGGTTTAAATAAAATCACGTTAACTGATCATGTTTATAATGGTGCACGTGTTCCTTTCCACAAAAATAAAAATATTGTAAAAGTAAATAAAGACAAATAAAAAAATACTAAATAACCTTTCATTCATCTTCTTATCATTCCACATCCCTCACATCCTTTATATCACTCACTTGTTTCCTCTTCAAAGGTCATCGGTCAAACGTCATCAGGCCATCGTTTCATCTGATCAACTGAGGTCGACGTTTTCCCTGGACCCTCATCATGTGCATGAACTTTCTCCACATCATAGCGGTCATTTCGTTTGACCTTAATGACACGGTAGGGATCTAGTTATTTAGGTCGCAACTTAAGTCCTACTCCAAACTGAGTGCGCTTGATTGCTACGAAATCCCCTATTTCATACTTGCAGCCTTCTTTTCTATGCTTATTTAAGTTTCTTCTATTTTCTTCTTGTACTTTCAATATGTGATGTTTGGCTTTCACTCTTAAATCTTCTCTGTTTCTGTTATACTGTTCAACCTCTTCACTCTGTAAAATTTGAATTATTTCCAAATCTTCCTTTTGTCTTAACTTTGTACCAATCGTTAGTGTAAATGAAGTTGTATCAATGGTCCTATGGTACGTGCTGTTCAAAGCTCTCTGTAATCGATTTACATGCTTATACCAAAAGGAAGGGTCTTCACTGCATAACTTTGTCAAAACTGAGATGATCTTGCGATGCACACGTTCCACCTGTCCATTTCCACGTGGTACTCCAGTTGTTATAGAAATATGTTGTATACCTTCTGTCTCGCAAAACTCTCGAAAATCATTTACTGTAAATGCGGTACCTTTGTCAGTTATTATTCTGTCTGGGTTGCCAAAATGTTGTTGAAAAATCTTTAATTTGTCCAATGTTTCCTTATTGGTTGTGGACTTTGTTGGAAATATCCATGTAAACTTGGTGAAGGCATCAACCATTGTCAAAATGTAATTATACTGTTTTTTAGCTTCCATTAGAGGCCCAATATGGTCGATATGCAAAGTATGTAATGGCATACTTTTTTTTTCTATAGGGTGTAAAAATCCTTTTTGTTTTCCAGATTTTCTTTTTGCCAGTAAGCATGGTATGCATGTTTTCATGAAGTCTTGTAATTTCTTATCCCACTGATTGATGTAATAGCTGTTACTTATGATTTGTTTCATTTTCTTACATGAAAAATGACCAATACCATGAGTTCTTTTTATTATTTCTTTTTCCAAAGTTTTTGGTATTACCAATTGTTTCAATTCTCCTTTATACAGCAAATCATTTTCGATGCAATAATCTTGGTAAGAACCATTCTTCAATATTTCTTTGTTAGCTTTGAGGCCTTCATCTTGGTCTTGCATTTGTCTGATTTGTTGATGCATATCGGTGATCAATATCACTGTAGGACAATAACGGCTGAGTGCGTCTGTACATTTCATCTTTGAACCTGCTCGGTGCTCCACAGTGAAATCAAATTGGTCTAAAAATAGTACCCATCTCGCTACTTTAGCTGACAAATCTTCTTTCCTCAATGTTTGTTCAAATGCTAGGCAATCTACATAAACACTCACGCCTGTCACCCAGAGGGGTAGGCACAGATTATGGATTTCCATTTGGCACGATCCTGACACACCTCCTTTGCTTCCTCCACATCCATATACCTACGCATACACGCTCGTCGGTTAAAGTTACTCTTGATTTGGCCCATTTTTAATATATCGCCAATTTGGTCGATAAACTTTCGCCTAGGGCGACCCTTCCCAACTATGCCGTTCACCTCTGCAACATAAATTTGCTTTGTCACTCTTTCCTCATTCATTCTTTCTACATGGCCAAACCACCGAAGCATTCCTTTCTTAATCCTGGTCACAACATCATCTTGCAAACCACACTCTTCTCTTATTAAACAATTTCTCACTCTGTCATTCAGATTCATCCCTAACATACTATTTAATTTACGAAAATTTATGCTAGGCAATCTGTAATGATTTTAAACTTAATTCCATGAAAATAATGTCTAAACTTCTTTACACCTTCAATAATAGCTAGTGACTCCAATTCGTAACTTGAATACTTTCTTTCCACATCATTGATCTTTCGACTCATGTAGTAAACTGGATACCATCCGTCATGATGAAATTATAATAATATTGCTGCATACGCTAAACATGAAGCATCAGTGTGTAATTCTGTAGGCAAACTACTATTAAAAATCTCTAATACTGGATTACTAGATAATTTATACTTTAAGATATTAAACGCTTTTCTTTGGTCTTCACCAAAACAAAAAGGAGTATCTTTTTTGAGAAAATCTGTCAATGACTGTGCAGTCAATGCATAGTTCTCTATATATTTTCAAAAATATGAGGTTAAACCAACAAAGCTTTGTACTTACTTGACATTACAAGGCTCGGGATACCTCACTACTGTGTAATAAAAAAAAATATGAACTATATATTTTGTAACACTCATTTTAGCAGCACAGTTTACAGCTTTCATTATATTTTTCATTATCTTTCTGAGAGGAATGTCATATGATTTCAATTAGTATACTGCCTTAGACAGATACATCAAATTTGTTTTCACAAAATTGAAAACTCAACATGAACACATTACCATTATTATTTAATTTGATAAGTGTAACAAATAATTAATCTGAATGATATTGAAAGGCTTTTGCTCTTTCTTTACTATTTCGGTAGGTTAGCACATGTTAGAAATATAACCACTTTGCAACATTCTTATTTTTCACCAGAAAAGCGGTTTTGAATTTTGAACTCTCTGCCAGACCATCCGGCACTAGAGCTTTTTGATCTCTCGCCAAAGTGATCGAGACAAACTTCTGTCGGTCTACACTGCCTCCACTGGTAAACCGGATGGCACACTGGTGCAATGGCTAAAGAGAAAGCGGACCTGTTCGCGTCTCTCTTTGCCCACAATTCACGGACAGTGCCAATAACGTTCCACGTAAATTACTTCACTGCGGGACCTCTATGTCCGAGGTCCGTATCACAAATAAAAAGGTTGTTACGGCCCCCAGCTGCCCCGGCAAATGTCGCCTTGACTAGGGCCCATAGTAGCCTCCTCGACGAGCAGCCGAGGGTTCGGGCCCAATGGCCTTTGGATAAATGTTCTAAAACGGCTGACAAATAAGCAAGCACAACTTACCGATTTCCGGAGGTAGGGTTGACCACAGGGTACCAGTCAGGTGGTGAGTGATGTGCATGTAAGTAGTGTGTAGTAGTGTGTACAATGTGTAACCTGTCATCCTCGCTGAAGTCGGACTGCAGATCCACAGGCGCTGCTTCTCTCCAAATGTGAGATCCATCCAGGGGGGCGTTCACCAATTGAAAACTTAGTTTATTTTTTATTTTATTTATAGTTTATCAACTTTATTGTACATTAAATTAATTTCAAAGTCAAACAAATCAAAGTTCATCGAAATTAAACAAAGTGACACACGATACAAGTAAAGAACAGTCGGTCAAAGTTCAATATTCAACGTTCCGGGTTCACTTAGCACAAAATTACAAACAAAATTAATTCAATATTAACTTCCAAAAGCAATTAACCGGCCGACGCGCAACAAAATCTTTTCTAGACTTTTACAATACCGTCCGTCGTGCAACAAATATTGGCAATCAGTTAATTTAATCATTTAAAACTCAAATTAGGCCTATTGTCACGTAACACTCAAAACAGACACTCAATTCGAGGCGGTCTTAACCAGACCCAAATATTCAATAGTAAATTCAAAAACGACGCGTACAATTATGCACACCAGCTTCGCCCGACCTACCAACGGTCGTAAACAATACTCAAAACGGTTACAACAATAATTATATGAGATCAACCTCGTTATCACGAAAAACCAATTAAGATAACGCCGTAGGAGGCACACGACCGACCTTCGCGCCATTATTTCTTTTCATACTTCTACTCGCCCTGGTGTACGCGCACAATTAATCTATATCCAACATGAAGCGATCTCCTCTCGGGTCACACATTCTTAGCGTTTCAAAACTCAAAAGGGCCTCTTGTCACTTAAAGCACGAAAGACAATCAATAAGAGACGTTTGTCACGCGGCCGAGCGCTTCGCACGTAACCGTCATACTTTAAGACCAGCCTCGTTATCACAAAAAACAAATTAAGATAACACCGTAGGAGGCACGCGACCGGCCGTCGCGCAACAACGTTTTCTCCATACTATTCGGCAGCCACGCCCTCGAATGGAATACGAACAGGTGCGGGGGGGCGACGATGACTTTGGTAACATCGGATGCACGAGTCAAGAATGCAAATTTTACAGTGTTAATTATTTGGCCTAAACAAAGGTGAATAAATCTAGTGGACCAGTTGGTATACCAGCTATAGTTCTAAAGACATGTGCGCCTGAGTTGTCTTCTGTGCTGACACGCTATTTCCGCCTCTCATCCAGGACTGGAATAGTTTCAAAATCCTGGAAGCTGGCTAACCTGCAGCCTGTTCCAAAAAAAAGCAGCCGTGCTGACCCTGTGTAGTGTGAATCTCACACTACAGGCAAACTCCGAATGGAGCGATGCCAATATTGTGAAATTCAACGCCTCCAAAACACAAGCGTGTCTCTTTACTGCAAAAAGGAGCCAGCCTACCTTGGCTCCTTCTTTCCGAAATGTATCACTGGAATATACCGACCGCCTTCAGTTAGGGTTTGAGATATCCTCAAATCTGAATTTCGGGCGATTCGTTGAGTCCAAGGCGAAAGCAGCTGCAAGGAAGCTGGGAGTCCTTGCAAAGATGAGGCGATTCTTTACGCTGGGAGAACTGCTTACTTTATATAAAGCGCAAGTGCAAGGAGTACTGCTGCCATATATGGGCTGGTGCTGCAAAATGCCTCCTAGCAGCTTTGGACTCAATGGAAAGGCGTGCTAAGAGACTTATTGGTAGTCTGAATTAGGATAAAACTAATCTTACCGGTCTCGAACACAGGCGCAAAGTAGTCAGCCTTTCGGTTTTCTTCAGGATGCATTTCGTAGAGTGTGCGCAGGAATTGCATAAATTAATTCCTCTCTCTCCCTTCCACCATCGGATAACCAGACGTTCGGCCAGTCTCTAACCTTTTGTTGTTGACTTAGTAAACGAAACAAACGGTTTTCCACGTCGTTCATCATGCGTACAGCAAAGGAGTGGAACAATTTTCCAGCATCTGTCTTTCCATCCGATTACAGTGTGGGTGTCTTCAAGCCAAGAATGAATAGGCTTTTGTTAACTTAGTGTGCTTCACCATCTTAGGCTACATCACCACTTACCATCAGGTTGGATCGTAGATAAGGGCTGGTTTAGTAGAATATAAAAAAGTGATTGCTACTTATCATTGAAGATTTTTGTGGAATCCAATTTTATCTATTTAACATCCATAACCACTTTTCTCTCTGATCTCTGAATCTAAATCTAAATCTGGGAATCTGCAAATAAGTTGTCTTTCGGTTTCAAAAATTGGATAATTCACATAATATTATCATAACTATATAAGCTTAATATGTTATAGGTCAGTGCAGTACCTGTCCCTGTCATTTTTGAATATTGGTTTCTGTGTCAATCTGAACCAACGTTTTTCAAATAATTTGTAAATTCACTGTTTTTAATAAATTAAATAATTATATAACTAATTCTCAATACCTAATAAACTCGATTCATTAAGAAAAAATCCTCTATAATAATTAATAAGCCCTAAAAATGAATTTTTGTGTTCTTCTGCGGCGGGCCTTGCAGAACTTAGCTCCGGCCGCATGGACAGTTTCCACGAGATTATCATATTCATTGCAGTCTTCTAGGCACTGAAAACTATTTTGTAACTCGAGCTGAAAGGTTTCGGGACTTTGGGCAAAGGAATTTTTGTTTAGAGCACGAGGGGCGCGGAGCGTTGCCATCATTAGACGAGACCTCTCCAACTTAACGTAGGTTCAGGGTGCCTCTAAGCATTCGGTGATCGCTACCAGTTTTCGCCCTCGCGATCACTGCGACATCACTGGACAGTTGTCTTTTGGTCGTCGTAATGAAGTAAATCTCATTTTTGTCCAACCATCGGGGCTCGGCCAGGTTCACTTCCTGTGGGGCCGCTTCTGAAAGTAAGAGTTCATCATAAAGAGTCTCTCTTTCTCGATGGAGTCAGCCAGCTGCTGGCCCCTTGGGTTCCATTGCCCTATTCAAAATTTCCCTAACTCAGCTCACCGTTCTCTGTTGTACCGAGTTTTGCATTGAAGTCTTCCATTAACATCGTATGGTGGGTTTTGTAGGAATGCATGGCTCTAGATATATCCTCATACATTTTTTCCACCTCCTCATCGGTATATGCCAAGGTTGGTTCGTAAACCTGTATGA